GAATGGGTGCTTATTGTGCTCCTGGAATGGGTGCTATCAGTGGTGCTAGAATGGGCGCTTATGGTAGTACCTTCGTTGGCGGCATGGATCCATGTTCTTTAGTTCGTTCACCAGCTATAGCATGTAATTTTCAAGTGCCTCTGGCAATACAATGTCCTCCATTGACTAATAGCCATAAGGTCCCATATCCAGTAGCCGTACCTTTTCCACAACCTTGCCCTGTTCCAGTTCCTGTACGCGAATATATACCTGTGCAGTAAGTTGTCGTTTTGTCATTGTAAACGTATCAAAATCTTACTGATTACTTTTTTCTTTCGTTCATTTTCATAGACAACCTTGTCCCGTTCCTGTACCAGTTCCAGTTCAGTCGATTCAAGTACAAGTAAGAAACATTCTTTTTTCTAAAGGATAAGTACTTCTGTATAAAAACTGAAATTGATTTTGATTAATTTTTTTCACAAAGCAAAAAGTTGGTTTTTCTTCGTCTACAATTTCGAACTTTAACTCATTTATAATTTTTTTTCGATTATTTATAGCATGTACCTGTATCTGTTCCGCAGCCATGCCCCGTACCAGTTCCTATACCCGTCGAACGTGTAGTTGATCGACCAATGTAAGTAGATTACTTAGTAAAAATACAATTATTTGCTTACTTCTTCTTCAGCTGTATTCCTGTTCCTCAACCAGTTCCACAACCGTGTCCTGTGCCAGTGCCGCAACCTTGTCCAGTTCCTGTCTTTGTTCCTGGTCCGACCCAACGTGTGCCTGTGCCTGTCCCTCAACCATGTCCTGTGCCAGTGCCGCAACCTTATCCAGTTCCTGTCCATGTTCCTGGTCCAACTCAATGTGTGCCTGTACCTGTCCCTCAACCGTGTCCAGTTCCTGTCTATGTTCCTGGTCCAACTCAATATGTGCGTGTAGCTGTCCCTCAACCGTGTCCTGTGCCTGTGCCGCAACCTTGTCCAGTGCCTATCCCTGTCCCTGGTCCGATCCAACGTGTGCCTGTACCTGTCCCTCAACCATGTCCTGTGCCTGTGCCACAACCTTGCCCAGTTCCTGTCCCTGTTCCTGGTCCAACTAAATATGTGCGTATACCTGTCCCTCAACCGTGTCCTGTGCCAGTGCCGCAACCTTGTCCAGTTCCTGTCCCTGTTCCTGGTCCGATCCAACGTGTGCCTGTACCTGTACCTGTACCTGTACCTGTTCCTGGTCCGATCCAACGTGTGCTTGTACATGTACCTGTTCCTGTCCCTCAACCATGTCCTGTGCCAGTACCACAACCTTGTCCAGTTCCTGTCCCAGTCCCTGCTCCTCCCTCTGGTCGTTTAGGTTGTAGGATCTGTTGTCTACCCATTTGTTGTTGTGTAATGCCAACAGTCAATGGATGTTATCCGTACATGAATAATCCTTATACACAAACTATTGGTTATCGACCTACACTTGGTTCTGCTGGTATACTATCACCTCGCACCGTATATATTTGATGTGCATTCAATTGCGTACATCATCATAGTCCATATCCTCCACCACTTATTTAAATTCAGTTGTCAACTGATCCGTTTAAATTAATCCGTGACTATTACAAACTACATTCTTTTTTTTGGCTTTCGCTATCTTAGGTCTTCCACTTATATTTTATCTTACACGTATGTAGTACTGGCTTATTCTTTCTGTATTAATTTATACTATTCAGAATTTTTTATTTGCTCATTTATTGTTATTGACTTATTTTCATTGCTTTCTGCACGCCTATTTGTTATTTTTCTGCTTATATGCTTCAAAGAATTACAGGAAATACTACACTCATCGACGTTCTTGTTTCTATTCTTTCCAGATTCTTATTTTTCTTGAACGTGAAACAAGATCCTTTTCTGAAAAAACGGATCTAATTCTCTGCAAGAATCATATAGACTGAATCTTGCCTTATGAGGCAAGATTTTTGTGTTCTTGAAATTCTTACTGATTCTGTTTTTTCTTGTATTTCTTCCCTGATTCTTCTTTTTGCATTTCTTGCCTAATTTCTTTTTTTTTGTTTTTTCTTGACTCTGGCGTGTTTATTCGAAAAAATAATAAATATTCAAAATAATTTATTGAAATAAAAAGTAATAAGAGAAACATGATAAAAATATTTCATTTGCATAAAAGTTAACAAAAAAATCAAAGCGATTAAAATATTTTGTTCACAATAAAAAAATACATACCTATTATTGTAATTCGTCTTTTTTGTATATATTATCTGGAGTCAATAATGATTAATCTGTCGACATCGTCGTTACTTTGATAATGTTGTTACTGGAAATCCAAGAATCAAATATAATTTGACTAACTAATATGGGCCCATGAATTTGTCTGTACGATAAAATACTTTCGCTTACCTAATATTGCCATGCAACCCATACATTATTCGAAAAGAATGTCTTTTGTGTGTTTGACTGAGCACAAGAATCATTAGATGTCGTTGTGTACAAATGAATACATGACGCACAAATATTGATATATATATATATATAGTGCTGGACAAAAGTAGGTACCCCTCCCCCTTGAACTAGCATAAAAATGAATGATAATGAGCTGATATTTTAGAGGAATATGAGTAATAATTAAACCTGATCGCAAGCACCAACCTAGGCTTGATTGATTGCCGTCTAACGGAGCTATGCATCGAGCATCATGCTCACTTTGTAACTCCTGTATCTTACAATGGAACCGTCTGAATTGTTAATCGAGTTGAGCGAGCTTGT